GCTTTGACCCAGTTGGAAAATAAAGTTGGTAATTTAGCATCATCACCTCAGCCATTAGTTACAACATCAGCTCCTCCCACCTCAGCTTTTGCTCATTCAAGTACACGAGGCTCAATTTATCATGCTTCAGCTCCAGGTAACACTAAACATTATTGGGTGATAGACTCAGGTGCATTTGATCATATGACTGGCTTGCCCTCACTGTTTACTACCTATCACTTATCCTCTGGCAGAGACAAGGTGTCTATGTTGATGGTTCACTTGTTCCCACCTCTAGCAAGGGAGACATCAAGTTGTCTAGTGCAATTTCCTTGTCTTCTGTTTTGCATGTTCCTAAACTTAGCACTAATTTGCTTTCAATTAGTGGTATTACTAAAAACCAGAATTGCTCAGAAACATTTTTTCCTGATCGATGTGTTTTTCAGGATTTGGAGACAAGGAAAGTGATTGGGACTGGCCATTAAACGAATGGGATCTATCTACTTGGAGGAAGTTTGCGCTGGGAATATAGTGAAGTTAGGGGGTCTTTTGTTTCTCAGTTTGTTGGTCAAATATGCTTTGGCATAACCATTTGGGTCATTTATCTTTAAGGTCTTTGAAAAGCTTGTTCCTAGTTTATTTGAATTTATCCAGATGTTCAGTTTAAAGTGTGAAAGTTATAAGCTTGCAAAGCATTGTAAAACAACATATTCATTGAATAATAAGAGAAGTGGTATTCCTTTTGACATTGTGCATACCGATGTTTGGGGACCTTATCACATCACTGTTATAGGGGGGTACAAATATTTCTTGCTGTTTGTTGATGACAACACCCATTTTTCTTGGGTTTACTTGATGCATTCTCGAGATGAGTTTCCTATCTTAACATGGATCTTTCATCAGATGATTTTAACCCAGTTTGGGGTAAAAATCAAAATTTTTAGATCTGATAATGCGAAAGAGTACTTCAAACATCACTAGCCTCATATTTCCTTGACCATGGGATTATCCATCAAAGTACCTACCTTCATACCCCTCAGCAGAATAGGGTGGTTGAGAGAAAGAATAGGCACATATTGGAGGTGGCTAGAAGTATCATGTGTAACTCCAATGTGCCTATGCGTTTTTGGGGAGATGCTATTCTCACAGCTATATATCTCATCAACCAAATCCCTTCACGGGTTCTTGACATGAAACCTCTATTCACCCTTTTATATCCTAATAAAGAAATGTTCTCTATCCCTCTTAAAACCTTTAGTTGTACTTGCTTTGTTCAAACTCTTGGCCCTCATTGTTCCAAATTTAATCCTAAAGCCTTGAAATATATTTCTTGGTTATGCACAAACTCAAAATGGACATTACTGCTATGAACCTACTTCAGAGAAGAGATTTGTATCTATGGATGTCACTTTCTTTGAGGATGTACCTTATTATCCTAGGGTTTCTTCTCAGGGGGAGAGTAATGAGGTTGGAATTAACACATCAAAGGTTCCTTTACTTGTTCCATTGAGTGAAGAGGGATGTAATGGGAAAGGTTGTCAGAGATGTCGGGATTTGAGAGTTTATCACAGACGGTGGAGGCATGTTGATTTCAGTCATTAACAATCCAAGCCAGCCCCAATTCCTTCTACGGATCCAAAGGCAAGCGTCATTGCACCTCATCCACAACCCATTGTATCTCACAATTCTTGTCTTATGATCATTTGTCTCCCTCTTACAAATCCTTTCTTGCATTCATTGTTGATATTCCCATTCCTAGAACAGTGCAATAAGTCCTATTAGTTCCTGAGTGGAAGGATGCAATGAAGGTAGAAATGGATGCCTTTCTGAGAAACAATACCTACGAACTAGTTGATCAACCTAAAGGGAAGAAACCAATTGAATGTAGATGGGTGTTTACTATGAAACATAATGCTAATGGTTTCATTGAAAGGTATAAGACCCGGTTAGTTGCAAAGGGATTTACTCAGACTTATAGTATAAATTACTTGTAGACTTTTGCACCAGTAACAAAGATGACCACTATCAGAGTTTTATTATCTCTTGCAGCCAATTACTCTTGGCCCTTGTTCCAAATGGATGTTAAAAATGCCTTCCTCAATGGGTACTTGCAAGAATAAGTGTACATGCAGTTGCCTCCTAGTTTTTACAGTACAAAGACAGGAAAGAAGGTTTGTCGACTGAATAAAGCCTTGTATAGACTAAAACAGTCCCCCAGTGCTTGGTTTGATAGATTTAGACAAGCTTTTGAAAAGTTTGGCTATGTGCAAACTCAGTCAGATCACACTGTTTATTAAGAAAGTGGATTCTTCCTTAACTCTGCTTGTTGTATATGTTGATGATATTTTAGTGATAGGAAATGATAACCGGGAGATTGAGTTTCTTAAGCAATTTCTTCATCAAGGGCTTGAGGTAAAGGATCTAGGAGAGCTACGATATTTCTTGGGTATTGAGGTAGCTCAGTCCAAGCATGGAATCTTTGTTTCTCAAAGAAAGTATGTCCTTGATTTGTTGGAGGAAACAGGAAAGTTGGGTGTTAAGCCAGTTGACACACCTATTGAACAGAATCACAGGATCAGTGCAGAAGGTGGAGATCCTCTTGAAGATAAAGCTATGTTCCAACGGTTAGTTGAAAAACTCCTTTATCTTTGTCTCACACGACCAAACATCATCTATGTAGTCAGTGTTGTAGTCGGTATATGCATTTTCCTAGAACTACTCATCTACCTGTTGTTCAAAGGATATTGGCATATTTGAAGAGGTGTTCAGGCAGAGTGTACTATTTAAGGATAATAATCACATGAAGATAAAAAGTTTATACAGATGCGGATTGGGCCAGTTGTGTTGATGATAAAAGGTCTACCTCTGGATATTGTATTTTTGTAGGAGGTAATCTTATTTCTTGGAGTAAGAAACAAAATGTTGTTTCTCGTTCCAGTGTTAAAGCTGAATATCGGTCCATGGCAAATGGTGTGGCTGAAATACTATGGTTAAAATCACTGTTTGAAGAATTGGGTATTGCCTATGAAAAACCTCTAATGTTGTACTGTGATAATCAGGCTACTATTAATATAGCCCATAATCCGGTACAACATGACAGAACTAAGCATATTGATGTGGATCGACATTTTATTAGAGAAAGGGTTGAATCTCAAGAAGTATGTCTTCCATATATCACCTCTATGCAAGTTGGGAATGACAAACATCTACTCCCAACTTGAGGGGAAGTGTAAAGAACACTAATGTGGTACCCACTACTGTACTTGTATGACTATTAGTTAGCAGTTAATTGTTAGTTGTTAGTTAGTAGTTGGTAGTTGGTAGTTATTTTTAGTCAAGCCTTTGAGTCAGTCTTTAATTAATAGTCTTTTATTTTTTGCCATGTAAGCAGTAAGGGTATTTCAGCCCTTTTATCTTTATTTGAAGATTAATATAAATAGTAAGAGAGGGGCGACAGATCAATTAATCCTCTCTTTTCTAATCTCCCCTTTGATCTCTTCTTCTCCTCCTCTCCTCTCTTCACTTATCCTCTTCTTCTTTCCAATTTTTCTTTGTTAATTGAACACTAAAACTAGGCCTGATTGTAGTCTTATTTGACTACAGTCATCATTCATCAAACAGATTCTATCTTTAAGAAGGGGTTTCAAGAAAATTCCAGCATGTCCACAGTCCACCAACCAACCAACTGTTGCAAACTAATACTCAACTATTATGAATTAAAAATAAACTATTACAAACCTATAAATAGTTTACTTTCAAATTTAAATTTCCATATTAATTAATGGTGCTAGAAGTTATATTTACATAAATGCAACTATTAAAACTTGATGACAAGTCACTACATGAAAGAGAAAGATTCTTTCATTAAGATATAATACTGCAATTTTTCAAAATTGCATACACTCTAATTTTAACTTTTTAAGCCATTTTATCAACTTCTCTTATTAATATTATATTAACCAGGAAATTAAAAAATAAAAATGGTTAATTGTTCATTTAAATTAGTAATTTTCTTAATTTAGATCATATTTTAATTCTTATACCATTTCCTAATGTTTCTTTGGCATATCCCAACAGTACACACTTCGCATAAACTATTAAAATATATGTTTCTTATGTGTACCTCATGTGTATAGACTTCATTTAATTGTCATTTGAGACTTAGATTTAGTTTTATTTATGTATTTATATGATTTATTTGTGTTTTCCTAGCATATCCATGTGTATCTTAATATTTTCCCCATATCTACGCCTATACAAAATATGTGCAATACATCTCTTAAAATTGCCTTTCCAATACTTTAAACCCATGAAGAAAATAGACCTCCCCCTATGATTACAATGGGCTACTTTGAAAGTTGTGATAAAGCAGCCCTTGGCCAGGAATATATCCCATGTAGTAGCCTAGCTGTTTGATGTAATATTTTCTTCTTCCTTTTTGATCCTTTAACCTCCCCCCACCCCAAGTACCTTTTAAAAAAATGTCCAATAGTACCCATTTTGGTGCCAACCCAAAGAAACCAAAGATTGACAATGACATGCTGCTATAAATAAGAATAACATACCCATTACAAACAGATCTGCAGAAAAAGTGTTCATTTGGTTATTTATGCAGAAATTATTGGATTAAATAAGACCAAAAGCTAAACAGAGTTCAGAGCCTTGCAAATTCCCAGATTAAGATAAACACATGGTTGGTCTCCATACAAGAACAACTTAGCAGATAGGAAACTAAAAGATACTCAAAACACTGATTCTAAGACAAAGAAACATGTAGAACATATACATCAGTTTTGTATTCTAGGCCTTTAGCATATAAAATATATAACAGAAAGAAGAGGAAGAAAACAAGGAGCATGATTTGAAGGATCATACTCAATACAAAGTAAATGAAAACCTTTATAATAGATTATGCAGATTTTTACGTATCTATGAGGGAATTATTTGCCAAGTTACATGTCTAAGCATTCTAACCCTTGGAACAGACAACTCAGACTGGGGTTCTAGGTAATACTACTCACTGCAAGTACCCATAGAGCTTGCATTCTTAACAATCCAAGGATGCTCCATGATCTTCTGAAGGGAAAGCCTTTTTGAAGAGTCCTTCACTAGAAGCTGCACAATTTTAGTTAAGATCAAGATACTAAATGCCACATCAAAAGAAAATAAGGATACTAAGAAGGAAACTCACCCGACTGATGAGATTTTTTGCTTCTGCAGACACATGGGGTGTAGGAGGGAAGCTCAAATCAACCTTCATTATCCTGTAATCCCATCAACAATTTGTTCAACCTACATAGCTCCATCAAAGTTCCATGTAATCCACAAGATACTTGAACCCCATCCTCACCTTCTGAATGTATCTTTTTGACTCTCAGCCTCAAATGGAGGGACCCCATAAAGGAACTCATAACAAAGTACACCTAAAGTCCAGTTATCAACAGCGTAGTCATGGGCTTTGTTCTCAACCATTTCTGGAGCTAAATAATCTAAAGTTCCACACATAGTGTGTCTTTTGCTTCTCGACTGAACAGACCATCCAAAGTCTGCAATTTTTAGTCGGCCCTGCAATCATAAAATATGGTTAAAACACTTATTCAGGACAGCATTCGTCCAATACATCCTATCTTCTTGGATGATCAAAGATTTGGATAATTGTAGGTTGAGCAAGCTAAGTTTAATTTATTCCAATGATCAAATATAAGAAGTAATGTCTAATAATCTAAAGTAAATAGTGCAGGCATGTCAGTCCCATGTCAAGTCAAAGACAATTTCAGGTAAAATCAAAGGCACACCCGAGAAAGTTTGAGTGACAAAATTAATTTATAAGATGATGCAATAAACACATCCGCGGTCTAGAGAAACCAAAAACAATAAACACCGGCAATTTTAAGAATCTCTGCTTACATAGTTACAAAACTCAGCACAAACCATGATCTTCTTTTCCTTTCCTTTTATTTTATAGTCCACGCCAAACAATGATAGGAAATCTAGTAAATTTCCATTTTGTGTTTTTTTTCTTTGAGCTGACTATGCTACTTAATTTCAACTGAAAAAATGAAAATAAAAGAGAAAATAGAAAGCTCCGTAGAGTACCTCAAAATCCAGCAACAAGTTCTCTGGTTTGATGTCTCTGTGAATTACATGTTTGTCATGGCAGTAAGCTAGCGCTTGCGTGAGGCTCGCAATATACTGTGTTACGGAAGAAACAAAATAAGAAAACCCTAGAACCATAGAAAGGAAAAAGGAGAAAAGGATAAAATCGAAAATAAACTGGAAGAATTTTACAGTGGCTGCTTGCTTCTCGGATAGGTATCCGGACTTCCTCAACAACCTATAAATCTCTCCCCTGTGTGCGTACTCGAGAATTAAGAAGATTCGCTCACCATCGTGAAACCAACCGAAGAGACGGAGAACATTTGGGTGACTGAGACTACTCTGTATCTCCATCTCCCGCCTCAGCTGGTGGTGCAGCCTGTACTTCTCAATTTGTTCCTTGAATATAACCTTAAGTGCAACTATATATTTGCTCTGAAAACACAACCAGCGCCCCGGTGTTATAGTGATTACAAGAGTTACAATCAGAAGTCTAAATCGAAATGATGGAAAATTGAATCGTGGGTACCTTCTTTTCTCTGGCAAGATACACTCTCCCAAACTTCCCTTTCCCGAGAGGTCTTCCGATATCGAAATCATGCAAAGACCATTGCTTCCGGGATGGTTGTTGTTCCCGCTGCTGATTTTGTTCATTCGTTCGACTGGATTCTTGAATTTGGGAATCCATGTGGATATCTGATCTGATCTGAGCTAGGGTTTGGGATTCGAAGAAATGAGAGCGGATAAGAAGCCGCTCGATGTTACATCTGAGAATCTGTTAGCCTCGTCCTGTGTCGATGAGAAGATGAGAGAAGATAGAGAAGCCGCGTCGGAATGCGAGGGAAGTCTGTTGTGACTTGTGATTCAAATTCAAAAACTATATTGCTTTCAAGTTTTGACCGACTGTATCCGTGGACATGGTAATTTGACCCGTCCCCGTTGGGGCTCCGACGCACTCCGCCGATCGGGTTTGGGTTCGGGGCGGTTTGTGATAGGGGACGGACGGACGATATTATGATATGTAACTTTCATATAATTTTAGGTAGATTTCAAAAAATAAAAAGGGCAAATTTTTAAATTATCCCTATTCTTTAGTTAATTAATAAATTATACCTTTATTATTTAACTATTGTACCTTAAACCACAATTAACTAACTCTATTCCTATCATTAACACCCCATAATGTTTCATCAAAATTCATATACACGTAAAACTACGTGCATAATTTTTTTTTAAATCCAATATTGTAATCTGGGTAAGAATCACCGCCCATATATGTCTTGGGACTTGGGAGTCAGCAACTCTATATCTGAACAATAAGTTGATTGGTCCGATATTGGAGCTGAGCCTAACAAATCTCGATCAGTTCAATGTCTCGTTCAATCAGTTGAATGGCCCGATTCCAATGAGTCCGCAAAAGTTGTCGACTCATTCCTTGGCACTTACCTCTGCAACTCGCCAATTGCTCCTTGTCCTAATGAAGCAGTGCCACCGCCAAGCCAGAGGTAGTAGCTCCAACAACAGTGGTGGCAACAACAACACACGAAAATCTACCTATTGTTTTGAACAAGAAGCTCATCTTCTTTGGAAATGCTAGTAGGGTTTTCAATCTGGAGGATCCGTTGAGGTTTTGGGGAAGGGGACGCTTGGTGTTCAGAACGAACAAGAGGCTCATCTTCTTTGGAAATGCAGGTAGGGTTTTCGATAGGGAGGATCTATTGAGGGCGTTGGCTGAGGTTTTGGGGAAGGGGACGTTTGGTGCTCAAAAATCCAAGCAGAAAACCAAATGGAATCATTTCTTTTGGGTCTGTAGTAACTCAACGGCAGTGGCTCCCTTCTCTCTCTTGACCTATTACACCGTCTCTCTCCCTATCGTCAAAGGGCAATACCCCCCCCCCCAACACGTCGGCAATTTTGTATATGTAGAACAATAAGTTGATGCCGAGAAAGGCACTGGAGGTATGGTGAATGCATTCAAAATATATCTTTCAAACTGCCTAAGCCCAACCAAGCTCGAATCTGGCACACTTATCAAAAATAAAAAACTCTCTCAAGTTGTATTGGGTTAAGTTCGAACTGGCACTTCGGAATGGATCAGGCACAGGCCCAATGTCTATGTCAAAGAGTTAGACCTAGATTGATTTTTAAATCACCTTAATCACTCAAATTGCATCCTTAGTTCCCTATAGTCATGTAAAGGGTTGTAACTTGGGATAGGTTAGCTCAAAACTAATCGGAATCAAGGTTTTAAAAGGCTAAAAGCGGAGGCAAGGCGGTTGGGTGTTAAAGAGGTGAGGCATAAGCCTCAAATTAAAATCTTAAAAATCACAAAAAATAAATAAATAATTGAAGTTTTAGATAATTATTTGTCAATTGTCACTTAATGTATCAATGGTTCAACAATTACTGATTGTTCAAATCTTTTCATCAAGATTACTTGTATGAACTATGAAGTGTAAGGCTCTAAGCTAACTAGTAACTAACTACCAACTAGTAACTATTGTTTAGGTGTAGGAATTTTACTTTTTTTCTTCAAACAAATTTATGGCTGCACTTATTAAATATACATGAATTAGACAAATCTTGAAATTTCAAAAGTTTTAGACAAATATTGAAATGAATTAGACTCATTTCCATGGTTGTCATGATAAAACTTCATTAATGGTTGTGGCAAGAGTTGTTCATGGAAGATGACAAAATGAATCCAGATTCAATATATTACGTGACAACATGGCAACATGTACCCATGCATCTCATCAGTTATCACAACACTTACTATCCGAAAGTGAAACTAAAAGAAAGTAGCATGCCAGCACCTCTGAGTCTCCCGACCTCCTATAAATCTATCACCCCACCTAGCCGATAATTTGAGACAAAATAGTAAGAAAAAGGTGAAAAGGAGGAGGAGGAGAACCTGTACACAAGATTCAAAAAGAAGAAGAAGGAGGAGGAGGACCTGTATGCAGTCGCACAATTTGATTTTGTCCAATATTCTTGTCTTCTTGAATCTTGAGTTCGGTATGAGAAGTAGAATATAGAACAGAAAACAGTAGAAGAGAAATGAGTTCGGTCTTCTTGAGTTCATTGAAAAATGAAAACAAATAAATGAGATTTTGGTCAATGGAAACCCTACATTTTGGAGTTTTTACTTTTTCTTTTAATTTTTCTAAAATTGTCCATACTAAAATCCAATTTCCCCACCCAAAACCCCTTTAACTTAAGTCTACCTCCTCATGTAAATTGAGGCGAAAGGCCAAAGGCCTATGCCTCACTAAAGTTGAGGCTTACGCCCCTTGCTCTGAGACTGTGACTACTGAGGCCAGGCAAAATTTGGCTGCCTCGCCTTGAAACATACGTCTCTCGCCTTGCCTCAATCGCCTTTTAAAACCATGACCGGAACCCAGCTCCATAAAAGTAGGGTTGGGTTTGTTAAAAAAATGTTGGATTGGGTTGAAGTTTGGATTGAAAAGTATGAATCCAGTTCAACTGTGGGTTGGGTTAAGGTTGGGGCTTGGGGGTTGAAAAGTATGAACCCAACCAACTTTCTCTTTTTTGGCTAGGATAAAAATAGTGAGACTTTCCTTCAATTTTCTAGCATTCTCTTAGTCAGTTAAAAATGATACCGAAAATACATACCAGCATCGTAGATTTACCCCTTCTATATCATAGCAAGGGACACTAGGCTGACTGCTAACATAAACAATTGCATATTAAAATAACATATAACATATAGGCAAGGTTTTAGAAGGCTAAAGGCAGAGGTGAAGTTGTTAGGTCTCATATTAACAAGGTGCAAGTCTCGAGCAAAGAAAAAAAGATATATAATTCATAAATAATAAAGGCATGAAAAACATATATTGAGATCCCATATAACAGGTTCATGGTTCGAAGTATTGATGCATTCATGCATCCCAATACACCAAAAGGGTGTATCGAATATCAAAACTTTGAATTATGTACATCTTTTTTCTTTAATTTCACAACAAGGTTTAGTTTTATGTTATTTAATTATTAAAAAAAAACGAGTTTTTAAATACCTTAAAAAGGGATATCAGTCCCCCAAAAATAGGATACTCCCGATGCTTTGAATACAAGTGTATATATCATGATCACCACATAGATATTTTGTTTTTTGTCCTACAATATTATATATATTATTTATAATTATATATACAATTTATTGCACCATTACTTGACCCATTTAACCTGAATAGTTAAAAAGTTGGCCAGCTGCCATGTAGGTAAAAATGGCTTTATTTTGGGGTCATTTTTCACTTGATAATAACCATTTAAGCTAGATGCTCATGTATCGGATTAATCCTACTTTTCATCCAATCACTTAAGCTTAATTTGGGGGAGTAAATAAAAATATGTATAATATAAATGTATACAAAATAATATAAAATATAAGATTTTTCATTTCTACGGCCCTGGTGCTTTTCAGGAAGTTACTTATCCAAGTAATTTATTTATATCTTTTATTTTCTAGGTAAATAAGATAATAACTGTTTTAACCATACAAATTCATTATTAAAAAATACAATTTATCCCATCCAAGTATTGACTTACTCAGTGTTTTAAAAACTGACCCAGAGGCCAAATCGTTTTGCCTCTTGTTTGTTGTCATCGATTCAACCGGCCATGTTGGATGGGTCAAACCATGCCACGTCAGCCATATGGAAATTCAAATATATATGTATATATATGAATACACGTGTAAATATGTGTATAGATATGTATAAAAATATATATTATCAATAAATAATGTATAATTATGTTTTACATGTAATATATGAAATATTTTATATTTAATTTTATATTTGTAAAAAATATTAAAATTGTAATTTTAGGCCAAAAAAGATTTTTTTTTGGAGAAATAACAGGGGAAGGCACCTATGGCCCCTTGGGACACATAAATCTTGAAAGTTATCCAAAATTTAAAAATATTCACCTCAATCTGACATCGGAGTGCAAAGTTATGGCCTCCCTGAAGTTTGCATATGCAGTTAGTATGCAACCCTAGTCATCGGGTCAAATGAGCCAATGGTCCAACCATCCGAATCGGACGGTTTTGACCAAGTTAACGGTTTTTTTACCTTCTTTGGGTTTTACTCAAATCGGTCTTGAAATCTTAACCAGGTGACGGTTCGAGCATTTCAATTGGCCAGGTCAATGCCAGGTTGAAAACATTGCACTTACCTACCTAAAAGATGGGTACGTATAAATTTGAAAAAAAGAACATATATATTTTAGCCAATAAAAACGAAAATCCCATTAACAAAGGCATCGTTTGGCAAGTCCTCCTGCGTGGTCTTTTGGGCTTTGACAAGGTTGAAGGATTGAAAATCAACTTTTTCCACTTGATAACCAAAAGTTGGAAAGATGAGAAGATACATGTGCGAAAAGACCTGAAAAGACCGAAAATGCCAAATTTCAAGAAGCTTCAAATGAAACTTTCTGGTCTTTCTGCGTGATAGATAGTATCTAAAGTCTAAAGACATTTTTAAAAGCCCAATAGATTGAACCACTTGCCAAACGGTCTTTATTTTAAAGACAAAACCCCAAAAGCTCAATATATCTGATGAGGGGTAATTTGGCCCAACCTGTTAGCATGCAGACACATGGAGCGACCTGACGACTAGATGACAACTCAACACTTTCCAACGCCTCAGCTGGCCAGGTTAGCTTGGGCATCTCGGGTACCTCAACCAAGACCGAGGTCCAAACAGCTCATGGTGTCCTTACCTACCAAGGTGCCATGTAGCTCACTTCTAGAAGCTAGCCAACTATCTCTGACCTTTTTGGGATCACACCGCATGTCAGTGAGCCTTATCCTTATCCCGCTCGGATCGGATGAACTCGATAAGCCTTATCAGCTCACACGAAGTCCATCTTCGGGTGCGAAATGGACTCTAGATAATGTGGGCCAAAGATCTCAGACATATTTCGTAAGGCCTATGGCAACTCGTCTATATAAAAGCATCACCTTTAATCTCATAAGGTCTGCACGATTTAGCTCTCTAGCTCTCTTACTCACAAGCTATCAAGCTCGCAACTACACTCTCTACTAACTTAAGCATTGGAGTGCCCACACCGGGTAAAGCACCCCAGGTCCTCTGATTGTACTTTCTTGCAGTTCGACTGGCCATGTAAGTAGACTGACATCCAAGCTACCATCCAGTAGAGAGTGACCAGATTGCGCACCATCAATATCTTTTGACCATCTGAGAAGTTAAAATATATTTATAAAAAGACTTATCAAGCTGCACCAAGCTTTCCCTCTCAAAATCCAAAAAACGAATGCCTCCTATTTGGACGTTAGCTTCTATCAAGGGAAATTTGTACTTCACACTGTTCTAACCGCATTTTGCAAGCTTGCATTGGGAATATTTTTTCATGAAATAAAGCATACAAGTAGGGAGATATTCTCAATGGAAGGTAGTAAATGCTGCTCGAATGGGCTTTGCCCTATAGCCGAACACTCCTATCTAACGCTAGGGTTGCTCACAGGTCGGGTTGGGTCGGTTTACTGAGATTTTTCCAACCGACCCAACCTGGTCGGATTACCTAAAATTGAAACCGAAATCGACCCTGTGTTAAGCAAAACTGACCTGGTCGATTTGAGTCGGGTTGGGTCGGTTTGGATCGGTTTCGGCTCTAAGTTCAACCATGCTTGAGAGTCAAATTGTATTAGAGATTGTGCTTGAGTTGAGGGCTAAGGGGGGCAGACCAAGTTAGAATAGAAGTTATCAAAAAAATAGAAGTCAAACTGTATTAGAGAAAGAAGACTGAAATTTGTATATTTCAAAAAACCTTATAATCTAAGTAAAAAAGGACACCTTATTATAATTGTAATTGATTGCCTATTTGGTGTAAAAGACCATAGAAACTAGAATCCTTTGATTCTTTTCTTTAAACTTTTCCAAAAAATTCCTTTCTAGTTGTCTTACAATACTTGCCATTAATGTCATTCCTAACTAGAAGACTAGAAATTAATTTAGGTTGTAACTAAGATAGAGACAACTTAGTTAAGTAGGTTGTAACTAATAACTAGGAACTAACTACTAACTACTAAGTCGGTTCGATTCAGGTCAGTGAAAACTGAAACTGATCCGAACCATCGATTTATAATTTTTTACAACCCGAAACTGACCGATATTGAAGAAAACCCGGTCAACTCGGGTTGAATCGGTCCGGGTTGGTCGGGTTGAGTCTTCTTATTAACAGCCCTATCTGACGCAAATTGCGGACAAAAGAGCGGCAACCGGCAACGTACGCCCCAATTGACGTGGTCGGTTTGCCTTTCGGGTTACTGGTGTACGGTCCTCACTTGACCGAATTCAAACTTGCCCGGAAATTGTCCGTCCAGGGACTTAGGCAACTGGCATCTCTTCTCCACGAGGCTACACAACCGGGGTAGCCCGTAGCCCATCGTCCAAACCCAAAAGATCTCGATCTCTAGTCCAACTAGCCACTGGCGCCATGCGGTCGAGGCTCGACTCTCTTTACACCTAATTCACAGTTGTATCTCGTATGTAAAGCAACTTCCAGACACCTCCTCGTGTCTTCCTCGTTTCTTTACACATAATTCTTCAATGCTCCAAAAGAAATAAAAATTCCACCCTTGAAATTTGCTATTTGTTCATTGTTGTTTATTTGATTTTCCTTTTCCTTTTTTCCTCCTAATTTTCCAGAGAGAATAATCGTCAAAGAACGCGACTGAGAAAAAAAAATCGGTTTATTGAATATTGATGAAGGTCTACTGTAACTTTTCCAGATTGTAGTTTCAAGACAATGGGTTCTTATAGAAAAGCAAAGTTTGCAATCAATGCGTTTCGAGATTTTGCCTCCAAGGTCATAGCCCGAGCACCGATTCGAGAGACAACGCATGGAGGACTCAAGCAACCTACTCCGTCTTTGCTTTCTGGTACAAATAACAAAAGCAGGGTCTCTGGGTTTTCTGTTTCATCTTTAATTTCCGGAAAACCTAAGTTCTATGCTTGCGGGAAAAAGGACCTGCAGGATGTCTACTTCAATAGTGGGAAAAGATTTTACTATGTCGATCGGTATCAGGTTCAACACTTCAGACCGAGAGGGCCTCGCCGATGGTTTGATAACCCGAGGAACGTGCTGGTTGTTGTTGTGGTCGGTACGGGTGTTCTTGTTACTGTCTACTATGGGAATTTGGAAACGATTCCTTATACGAAGCGCACCCATTTCGTTCTATTGTCGAAGGGCATCGAGAGACAGATGGGAGAAGCTCAGTTCCAGCAGGTGAAGGCTGCATTCAAGGGAAAGATTCTCCCGGCGATTCACCCCGAGAGTGTGCGTGTGAGGTTGATAGCTAAAGACATAATTGAAGCGTTGCAGAGAGGATTAAGGCATGAGCAGGTGTGGAGCGATCTTGGCTATGCGTCGGAGAGTACTGGCATGTCCGAAAAGAATGCTCAAGATACTCTGTTTGCATTGAGTAGCGGTCCAGAAGGAAAATTGGAAGAAGGGTGGAATCGTGAGGACGAGATTCTCGACGACAAGTGGGTTGAAAAGAGCCGGAAGAAGGGTCAGGTGCTGGGCTCACAGCCTGCGACACAGCATCTGGAAGGATTGAATTGGGAGATTTTGGTGGTGGATGATTCTGTTGTCAATGCCTTCTGCCTCCCTGGAGGGAAGATAGTAGTATTCACGGGATTGCTTAACCATTTCAGGTCAGATGCGGAGATAGCTACCATACTTGGACATGAGGTATAATTTCTGGTTAAATTTTAGCGATGTTGTAGCAATCTTCATATGATGTTGCAAAAACTAACCTTTCCAACCTATCATACAAACAAGAGTAGGTTATTTATTAATTAATTTAATTAGGTTGCACATGCTGTAGCTCGGCATGCAGCGGAAGGGATCACAAAGAATCTGTGGTTTGCCATCTTCCAGTTGATTCTTCTCCAGTTTGTTTCCATGCCGGACCTTGTGAACACAATGTCACATCTTTTTTTCAGGCTTCCTTTCTCTCGAAGGTATTTTGCGCGGTTTCAATCTTTTAAGTGTTTCCTTATTGGTGTTTTTGCTGGGGCATTAGTTGTTGAAAACTTGAATTCAGAAATCCCCTTCTCAAGCTACTGGAGTTAATACATGCATTCTACAACTAATATTGCTTAATTGAATTTATTTTCATCATGCAATGTTGCTGTTAGTTTACTTCCAGACTACTTCCCGGGATTCATCATTCAGTTATTTATTTATTAGATTTTTTATGAGAGATCTAGCAATTCCCTTGGAGACTGCCTAAAGAGGATAAAGCAGTTGCATTTATTTATTCCTTAATAAATTGTCCAATTGCTGCAATAAGCTGTCTCACTCACTGAAATACTGCAAAAAAGAGTGATAATTCATTCTTATATTATATTGGCTTAACAAACTAATATTTGATCATTTGATCTTTCTTATATTATGTTGGGTTCATGCACTTGAAAATAAACACCACAATGACGGTTGAGTGTTTGCATGGCCAAGGCATACTGCACTCAAATGCAATAAGGATAAGAAAACATGAAAGCATTAGTAACTTATCAGTTTCATACTTAAGAAAGCGTGTTCAACTATATTAAAAAAATAGAAAATTGAATAGATTTAGTTCATTAGTTGATGAGAAGGTAAAAGAGAGGGAACCTTATAATTTTTAGAAGGAGATCCAGGTGCTAGGGTGACATATAAACATTCACTCTTTCGGGTGGACTCCTAGGAAGGTCTATAAGATCGCAAATGGTTTAGCTCTGGTTTCTATTGCAGGGTTGCTGCCCTTCTCCTGGTTTATATCAAAAGTTACAGGGTGGTTTCTTTTTCTACATGCTTTTTCTTGTCCACATCATAGTGGAGGGTGGATGGGTGGGGGAGGGGCTTTGATCCCTTGTGCTAGAAGAAAGGGTTTCGATTTGGGGAGGTAGCCAAAAGGCCTCTAATGTACAAATAGATATATACACCAAAATAAGCTCGTCCTCCTCTCTCTCTCTCTCTCTCTACAATGTTATTTTCGGCAAGTCTTTAGGCATCTTGGATAATGGTTGACTACCTATATTAGGATTCTTCTTAGAATGTTTACTTAAAAAAAGAAAAAGAAAGACTGCTGTAGGAGCCAACATGCCAAATTTGGAATTTTCTGACTTTTTATGTATCTATCAATAGTAGGGATGTTATTGTAATTTCAAGTAGTTATTTTCTTATTAATTGAGCATTAAACAGAACAGAATGGTGAAATAGGGTTTATGTAGACGACTCCATATAGTTGGAGTAAAGCTTACTGCTTTAGAAGATGATGATTTTCTGATTACTTGAGTCAGTAATTTTCTTAATTAGATTAGGAGTTGTTTTTTCTGGTTAGGTTAGGATTTAGTCTTCGGATTGGGACTTTGGGAGTCATGCTAGTGAGTCAGAGTCATTAGTTGTCAAGCAAACTTTGTCCCGTTCCAGTCAGTGTCTTCGTAGTATTTTGTTATTGGTTTTAAAGTAGGAAACGGAAAAGGGCTGACCGCATTTTCCCCTCACTTGTAAAAATGTGCAAGGCCCTATTTTTTCTACACAAGTTAATAAAATGTTTTTTTGTTCTATTGTTTCTGTTAGAGTGATTCTAACTACTGAAGATGCTGATCTCTCATCCTTTTGGTGCTGATCTATTGTTCTGTTAGAGTGATTCTAAGTTTCTAACTACTAAAATTTACTGTTGTATAGAATTCCTGCCACTAAAACTTCAGTCCAGCAACTGCAAAACTCTACTCAATCCTAATTACTCCTTTCACTTTTACATTATTCTGTAAGTTCAGCTTTCGTTGCTCTCTAAACCCATTTCCATTTTGTCCTTAGTTTCACATTCTCGGATTTGAAACTAGACTTATTGTATTTATTAAAAAAACTGAGTTATTGTTCAGAGCTGGAAACCCCTCCTAAACTTCCCAAAACGCTCTTCCTCTTACTTGATGCAGGTTAGTAAGACGAATAATAAGACATAATTAGTCTCTAAACAAAACATAAACATAATCAGAATTGTTCTCTACACTTAATTACCAAATCTATAATTAATCCCCAAAAGCCGTTCCAAGCCTGAGAAGAGAAAAAAAAAAGATGTAATTTCTACCCACCTATCCATTGTCAAAGACAGCTTGGAAGCTGAAACTTTATTCTGGTTAAATTGAAAAAGTTATCTAATTTACAGGCATTGTTTGAAAAACTAATGGAATTCATCATACGTTAGGATATTAATATCCATCTGAGAAAGGGTATTCCATTGTAAAATGTTGAAGTGTTGGCCCTAATGTGTCTTTGGAACCATTTATAATTCATAGTGAAAGAGGTAAATGGAGGCCAATGAAAAAATAAAAAAATAAAAAAAGGAAGAGGTAGTCTATGTTACCCAGATACGCAAGGACATGGATGGATATGGTATTGGATACAAACTTTGTACTAAAACTTGAGGTGACCTGTAAACTGCAATTAATAGCAATGTGGTGGAGATGAGCTTCTCAATCCCCAAATTTCCTTCCCCTGTATCTCTAGTTTCTTTTTAGGACTTGAAGCTTTTGAGTCCCTCTCCATGTATTTGAAAAAAAAAAAAATCTTGGTCCTTAAATGCAATCCCGTGAGTGCCACCAATAGTTTCTTCAACACTCCTCCCTGTTAAAAGCTATGTGTATAAATATACATACTTTTTGTTCTGTTCCAGCGTTCCCCCTTGTTTGAGCTCTCTTCAATCTCTAACCTCTAATAAAATTTGTCATCCGTTCTTCTATTCATTGGCTGTTAACCTCAAACTACCAGAGAGTTGGCCTTATGTCAAAAAATGATAGATAAAGGGCTTTTGTGCGCATTGTAGGGATGAAGCCCTTGTACAAAATGCCATGGGCCCCCTGTGTGTGCATTGTCTTTCTGCTTCACTTTGGTTTTGGGTTTTGAAGATAAAAGTTGTTTTTGGGTTTTGTTTCTTTTTCTTTTCTCTTCTCTTCTCCTTCTTGTTCTTCTTCTTCTTCTTGGGAGAAATTTATGTGTAGTGGTTCGAGAAGAGAGAGGAAATGATTTGTTGCTTTGGTTCATTCAAGGATGATGAAGAGAGGGGAAATGATTTGCTCAACGTTTTGAACATTTAGGGGCAACTTTGATATTATAAATTATTTTTGAGTGAGCTATTAACGGCCCTAAATTGTGCAATGATAGAGGTCCTGTTTATATTATGTGGGGCCAGTCAACAAGGCATGTATAAGTTATTCAAAGTTCAGGGCATATATAAGTAGTTTCTCAAATGTACAGGGTATATATAAGTAATTAACCCTTAAATTAATTTGGATTTTAATGTAGTTGGAAGATAAGAGTCTGTCTTCCTCTTTGTAATTATTGTGATCATTAATGAAATTGTGTTACTGATAAAAAAAATAATTTGGATTTTCAATGTTTTTTAATCACATATGATTGGAGGGTTTGATGCAAGTATCCACTATGGGCATATCATTTCTCATTTGATAGCAGTTCCTCGCCATACTCATGGAGCAAGGTACTAATACAAGGGGTCAGCATGTTCCTGTCATTAAGCCATCTTTGAATCTTGATACAACATTTAAAAAAATGTGGGACTAGTTTCATTGGATAGTAGTTATGTTGATGTAGGACCAGCTCAGTTCTAGTCCTTAGAGAATGTTGAATGGTCTTCTTGATCAGAGTTTTATGGCTGTCAATTGCTGTAATGGCTTCTTGAAGGAATAAGAGAGAAAATAGGGAGAGAAAGAAGAGAGAAAATACCTGGAATCACTCACAGGGTGCCTAGAATCACTCTAGGGCATGGGAATCACTCACCATAACTAGCATAAGCTGAAGAAAACTCAATATAATTCATTGCCTTTGTGTAAAACGTCCATACATATTTATAGACWCTAAACTCATAATAATCCTAGGAGTCAAACTGTTAGACTCATAATAGTCTTAGGAGTCAAACTGTTAGACTCAATAATCCTAGTAGGACTCAAACTAAGTTGTCATATCCTATTTAAATTCAAAGGAGGAAATTGAAAGGTGCTTTGTGGATCACTTCAAGTCAATCCTTGCCTCCTCTGAGGAAAGCAATGCAGAATTAGGAGAATTATCGTGGGACAGAGTGCCAGAATCCGAAGCAACCTTCCTAGAAAGAGCTTTCAGTGTAGAGGAGGTACACGAAGCAATTATCTCAATGGATAAATCTAAAGCTCCGGGGCCAGATGGATTTTCAATGGCTTTCTATCAGGACTGCTGGGAAATCTTGAAAGATGAATTAATGGATGTATTTGTGGAGTTCTATCAAAAAGGGAAGTTATTACCTGGAGCAAATGCAACTTTTACTGCTTTAGTTCCAAAAAAGAAGGCAGCCAAAACCCCCAAGGATTACAAACCAATAAGTCTTGTGGGTAGCTTGTATAAGATCATTGCTAAAGTCTTGGCTGGTAGGTTGAAGACTGTCTTGCCCTATGTTATATCTCAGAACCAAGGAGCTTTTGTAGAAGGGAGACAAATCGTGGATCAAATCTTAGTGGCAAATGAATGTGTGACAGCTAAGAAAAAATAAGGTGGCAAATGTTTGATTTGTAAATTGGACCTAGAAAAAGCTTATGATATGGTGGATTGGGCCTTCCCGTTGAATCTAATGGAAAAGATGGGCGTAGGTGAAAGATGGAGAATGTGAATTAAAGAATGTATTAGCTCGACACATTTTTCTATTTTGATGAATGGGGTAGCAAAGGATTTCTTCCAGGCTAAAAGAGGACTCAGACAGGGTGATCCTTTATCCCCATTCTTATTCACTTTTGTGGCTGAGGTCTTAAGTAGACAAATCACCAAGGCTGACCAAGATAACTAGTTTAAAGGTTGGAGGATGGGTAGATCAGAAGTGGTGGTGTCTCACTTGCAATTTGCTGATGATGTAATCATTTTCTGTGAAAGTTTGGATGAATCCAGTGTAAGGAACCTGAAAAGATTGGTGGATAAGTTTCAAAAGGCCTCTAAACTG